ATTAGTTTGTAGAGAATTGGATTTGTAAAAGTTGGATCGTCTAGCTCGTTATGTCCCCAGCGTCTGAAGCAGTTCATGTCAATAAAGAAGTCTTTCCTGAATTTCCTCTGATAAGCAAAAGCTATCCTCGTCGCTTTTACAACTATCTGATCGAGAAACAAATCAGAATTAATGGGGATTTTATGTCAAATTTTAGATAAATTCTTTTCAAAATATTGAAACACCAATTAATATGAAAATAAAAGCTGAAGTGATAATAAAAATGGAGAGGTCCAGAAGAGAACTAATTTACATAGACAATTCGAATTCCATGAATTTCATGGGTTCATCTCTTATTTGAATTTCAAAAAAATGAACAGTATAACAATTGGTGGATTTTACCAGTGGTTATTTTAAATTACTGGATGAATTTACCTCTGGTGAGTCTCCATTCACATGTAATATGGGTGCCGAAATAGATTTAGCAATGTCTGTGCAGTACCTTGAAGATCTTCCCCTGTCTGCAGGTGTAGTAAAGCCCAATTGATTATTAACCACCAAATGAATAGTTCCACCGATTTCAAAATGAGGAACTCCACTGAGAGCTAATGATTCTTGGTTTACTCCTTGTCCAGCATAAGCAGCATCACCGTGGACCTTCAAACAATCAAGGGAAATCGAATCATCAAAAATGTAATTCAATTCTTTTAGTCACAAAAGAAAACAAATTGAACTTTTTGCAAGGTATGATTCACTGAATAAATGCACACTATTCTAAAAATTAATCATTGTACTACATAATTAGCAATCAATAATTCGATTAATGGGAATTAATTATAATTAATTTGCATTGGATTTTATCAGTTCTCGAAAAAATGCAATGTGCGGTGGTTTAAAACAATTAATGACGATGAGGATTTTACCTGGACATTCAAAACTTTATCACTCCACCTGCGTCTTCCATCTTCAGCATAAGCTCCATCCTTGAGACACTGCATGATTCCTCTAGTTTTTCCCATAGACACAGGATTCACAGCCTCGAGGTGAGAAGGATTATATAACATAGTAACATGCAACTTTTTGGTAGTCAAATTGAGATCGACGGATGACACAAAGTGGCTGGGAACGTCTCCAGTAGCTTTGACGTCATCTGGGAATTCTGGAAGTCCTTTTAATTTACGGAATAGTTTCTCTGGAGGAAACTGGAGCATTCCAGTGAGAAAGTTCAGTCGCCCTCGGTGAGGCATTGCCAAAACAATCTGTTCGAGTCCTTCTGAAAGTGAATAACAATTTTGATGATCATCATTACAAGTCAAAAAGGAATTAATTCCTCTTTTCTCACATATAAAATCGTTATTTTAATTAATAACTTAGGAATTTGTAATAATAATAATCAAATTAATTTGGCATATAATATATAAAGAAAACCAAAATCGATAGAAAAATTAAGCAGCGAACTTAAAATGAAAAAAATGAAAAATTGCAAACTTGCAAAAATCGTCTGGAAAATTAGATCAATGTCTATAGCGATGGTGATTATCTCCTAATTTCAATAATATAGCATAAAAACTACGATTTTACAGAATTCAAATATTTTCAAAGTACCAATTTCGGGTAATTATTTTCCAATGCCGTCAACCAGACTTCGAGACAAATTTTTTAAACCCACATTGAACCATTTTATGAGATTTTTGTTCAGTTATCGTAACGAAACTAACTGTTAAGAGAACTGAAAAAGTGAAAAAATTAATGTATAAATTGAATTTTAATTAATATCGACAACTGAGGATCAACAATACTCACATAGAAAAATAATTTAATTTCAGTGATTCGTTAGTGCACAATTGAAGATTTTTGGTCATAATGCGTTGACGTAATACAAAAATATGCAATTTCGATAATTATAATGTTTCAGCTCAGAATTTATATATTCATATGTTGGACTTTTTTGCACGTTTCATGCCAAAAAAAAAATGATTATTCCACCGTCGATTTCGACATTCTATTGAAATTTAGTTCAGTCTTTAGTTGTCTACTGATTTCTGACTTGATTTTTTTTCATGGAATTATCTGAAGAGGGAAACATGGAATATACAAGACAGGAATTATCAAAAAAAACACCTGTATAGCATTTACCTTTGGTTTTTAGAACCATCAGAATACGATTTATCTTCTTGAATTTCTGACTACCAAAATAATTGCAAAAAAATTTCAACTCTTAATAATAAATGCCATCATTACATCTCATTAAGACTAAATTACTTCAAATAGTCTCACCACTGGCAGATAATTTGAAGAATTCATGAAAAAAGGCCATCATAGCTTCAGCACCTTCGCCAGCATACCTCTTGAATGAAACAAACTTGATCTTCAAAAAATTATCAAAAGCCTGACTCTTTATCATTTCGGCAGCAATAGCCTTTTTGGTCCCATCATCCAACTCCTCTTTGTGAATTCTTTCAAAGGTCTCAGCAAACCATTCTCTCTCCTCCAGACTCTAGAATCACGAATAGCAAAATCGATAGCTATCAGTTTGAGCAAACAGTTGCACCCGATAAAATAGTCTCACCTCCAAGTGACTGAACTCAGCGCCAATTTCGCGAGTGTAGAGGTCATTCAGAATTCCTACAGCTTCTTCAACAGTTCCTTCTGATTTACTCGTGTTTATTATCCCTCGGAATTTGACAGTATCGTTCAGATTTAGTCCATATCTCTGTGGATCTAACTCTGCCACAGCCTCTGGTTTTGCGATTGATATGGGATCTATATCTGCTTTTTTATG